AGTCCTTAAATGTTCCTAACTGATTATTAAGACGTCTGGCAAACATCCTCTGGATGTTTCCTGCCAGCCTGCAGGAACATCCTGCCAGCCTGCAGGAACATCCTGCCAGCCTGCAGGAACATCCTGCCAGCCTGCAGGAACATCCTGCCAGCCTGCAGGAACATCCTGCCAGCCTGCAGGAACATCCTGCCAGCCTGCAGGAACATCCTGCCAGCCTGCAGGAACATCCTGCTAGCCTGCAGGAACATCCTGCTAGCCTGCAGGAACATCCTGCCAGCCTGCAGGAACATCCAGCAGGAACATAATGCCAGCCTGCCTGCCAGCTTGCCTGCCAGCCTGCAGGAACATCCTGCCAGCCTGCAGGAACATCCTGCCAGCCTGCAGGAACATCCTGCCAGCTTGCCTGCCAGCCTGCAGGAACATCCTGCCAGCCCAGGAACATCCTGCCAGCCTGCAGGAACATCCTGCCAGCTTGCCTGCCAGCCTGCAGGAACATCCTGCCAGCCTGCAGGAACATCCTGCCAGCCTGCAGGAACATCCTGCCAGCCTGCAGGAACATCCTGCCAGCCTGCAGGAACATCCTGCCAGCCTGCAGGAACATCCTGCCAGCCTGCAGGAACATCCTGCCAGCCTGCAGGAACATCCTGCCAGCCTGCAGGAACATCCTGCCAGCCTGCAGGAACATCCTGCAGGAACTGCATGCCTGCCAGCCTGCAGGAACATCCTGCCAGCCTGCAGGAACATCCTGCCTGCCAGCTTGCCTGCCAGCCTGCAGGAACATCCTGCCAGCCTGCAGGAACATCCTGCCAGCCTGCAGGAACATCCTGCCAGCCTGCAGGAACATCCTGCCAGCCTGCAGGAACATCCTGCCAGCTTGCCTGCCAGCCTGCAGGAACATCCTGCCAGCTTGCCTGCCAGCCTGCAGGAACATCCTGCCAGCCTGCAGGAACATCCTGCCAGCCTGCAGGAACATCCTGCCAGCCTGCAGGAACATCCTGCCAGCCTTGAACATCCTGCCAGCCTGCAGGAACATCCTGCCAGCCTGCAGGAACATCCTGCCAGCCTGCAGGAACATCCTGCCAGCCTGCAGGAACATCCTGCCAGCCTGCCTGCCCTGCCAGCCTGCAGGAACATCCTGCCAGCCTGCAGGAACATCCTGCCAGCTTGCCTGCCAGCCTGCAGGAACATCCTGCCAGCCTGCAGGAACATCCTGCCAGCCTGCAGGAACATCCTGCCAGCCTGCAGGAACATCCTGCCAGCCTGCAGGAACATCCTGCCAGCCTGCAGGAACATCCTGCCAGCCTGCAGGAACATCCTGCCAGCCTGCAGGAACATCCTGCCAGCCTGCAGGAACATCCTGCCAGCCTGCAGGAACATCCTGCCAGCCTGCAGGAACATCCTGCCAGCCTGCAGGAACATCCTGCCAGCCTGCAGGAACATCCTGCCAGCCTGCAGGAACATCCTGCCAGCCTGCAGGAACATCCTGCCAGCCTGCAGGAACATCCTGCCAGCCTGCAGGAACATCCTGCCAGCCTGCAGGAACATCCTGCCAGCTTGCCTGCCAGCCTGCAGGAACATCCTGCCAGCCTGCAGGAACATCCTGCCAGCCTGCAGGAACATCCTGCCAGCCTGCAGGAACATCCTGCCAGCCTGCAGGAACATCCTGCCAGCCTGCAGGAACATCCTGCCAGCTTGCCTGCCAGCCTGCAGGAACATCCTGCCAGCCTGCAGGAACATCCTGCCAGCTTGCCTGCCAGCCTGCAGGAACATCCTGCCAGCTTGCCTGCCAGCCTGCAGGAACATCCTGCCAGCCTGCAGGAACATCCTGCCAGCTTGCCTGCCAGCCTGCAGGAACATCCTGCCAGCCTGCAGGAACATCCTGTCAGCCTGCAGAAACATCCTGCCAGCCTGCAGGAACATCCTGCCAGCCTGCAGGAACATCCTGCCGGCCTGCAGGAACATCCTGCCGGCCTGCAGGCACATCCTGCCGGCCTGCAGGCACATCCTGCCGGCCTGCAGGCACATCCTGCCGACCTGCAGGCACATCCTGCCGGCCTGCAGGCACATCCTGCCGGCCTGCAGGCACATCCTGCCGGCCTGCAGGCACATCCTGCCGGCCTGCAGGCACATCCTGCCGGCCTGCAGGCACATCCTGCCAGCCTGCAGGAACATCCTGCCAGCCTGCCTGCCAGCTTGCCTGCCAGCCTGCAGGAACATCCTGCCAGCCTGCAGAAACATCCTGCCAGCCTGCCTGCCAGCTTGCCAGCCAGCCTGCAGGAACATCCTGCCAGCCTTCAGGAACATCCTGCCAGCCTTCAGGAACATCCTGCCAGCCTGCAGGAACATCCTGCCAGCCTGCAGGAACATCCTGCCAGCCTGCAGGAACATCCTGCCAGCCTGCAGGAACATCCTGCCAGCCTTCAGGAACATCCTGCCAGCCTGCAGGAACATCCTGCCAGCCTGCAGGAACATCCTGCCAAAAATATACGATGATGTACTGTACATTTAAGAAACAAATCTGGGTCACAGGTCTGTGGAGTGTGGCTAGGCTTACGGAGTCAGCCGGTCCCTCCCCCACCACCGACACACCTTCCCCTCTCCCCCCACCCCAAACCCATCCACACACACACTCTCAAAGGTCACGTGGTTTACGGTTCACTTCGACACCCATATATCGCTTCCTGCCTGCCTCCTTCCCAGCCTGCCAGCCTGCCTCCTTCCCAGCATGCCTGCCTGCCTGCCTCCTTCCCAGCCTGCCTGCCTGCCTCCTTCCCAGCCTGCCTGCCTGCCTCCTTTCCCCTTCCCAGCCTGCCTGCCTGCCTCCTTCCCCCTTCCCAGCCTGCCTGCCTGCCTGCCTCCTTCCCCCTTCCCAGCCTGCCTGCCTGCCTCCTTCCTAGCCTGCCTGCCTGCTCCTTCCTAGCCTGCCTGCCTGCCTCCTTCCCAGCCTGCCTGCCTGCCTCCTTCCCAGCCTGCCTGCCTGCCTCCTTCCCAGCCTGCCTCCTTCCCAGCCTGCCTGCCTCCCTCCCAGCCTGCCTGCCTCCCTCCCTGCCATCATGCTAACGGGTAGTGTGTGTTAGGCTTATCTTCAGGAACGAGCCGGTCTCGCCCCCACCACCCCTACCACTGACAAACCACCCGCCCCCCTACATCCCATGCTCTCTTTTAAAGGTCACGCGGTTCAACCGCGTGACTACCACTCACTCCCTGCCTGCCAGCCTGCCTGCTTGCCTGCTTGCCAGCCAGCCAGCCAGCCAGCCAGCCAGCCAGCCAGCCAGCCAGCCAGCCAGCCAGCCAGCCAGCCAGCCAGCCAGCCTGCCTGCCTGCCTTCCTGCCTGCCTGCAAGCTAGCCTGCCTGCCTGCAAGCTAGCCTGCCTGCCTGCCAGCCAGCCAGCCAGCCTGCCAGCCTGTGCCTGCCTGCCTGTGCTTGCCAGCCTGTGCCTGCCTGCCTGTGCTTGCCAGCCTGCCTTTCTCTCCCTAATTTTCACTACTTCCGTCCCTTCCTGCCTACCTCCTAGCATCTCTCCCTACCTCCCCCTCCCTCTTAGCATCTCTCCCTACCTCCCCCTCCCTCCTAGCATCTCTCTCTCCCTCCCTTTCTGACTAATTCTCCCCCTCTCTCACTGATTCTCCCCCCCCTCGCTCATACTGCCTCCCACCTAAGCTCCCCCATCTATCCACCCACCGGTCAGCCATCACTGACGCAATGTGTGCATTTGGAGTCGACATGGTCACAGATGTTTCTTGATTGTGCAGATATGTAAAACAAAAGCACAGAATGAACATTCCAGCCTTATGGCAATTCAAAATAATAGGAATAATAGGCCGTGCATCTGTGAAGTCACAGTGGGCAAACTGGACCATCTCCCACCCACCACCACAGGCCGGCGTGACGCTTGGTGGACCCCTTCCTACCCGAACTTTGTTCAGGTAGCATGACTCCCCAACCCCAATTGGGAAACTGGAAGTTTCGGATAACTAAAGTTCGGAAACCAAGTGGTGCTCTGTAATTATTGTAATTATCCCTATATTTTGTTTTTGGGGGGTTATTTTATCTTGACTTCATTTCTACACACATGGACCAACAACTTTCACATACTTGAGTATGAATGCCAAACAATGTTTATTACAACATACAAGTAAATTCATGAATTAGAACTGCCTTATTCATTGTCGATAATTTCAACTTCAATTATATAGATAACTAGAATTTCAACTTACATCAGTATACAAAAATCTAGTTTCTGACCGATTGTCATCATTTTTACATATAATGTGCACAGCTGTCTGTTCTACAATCCCTATAGAATTGATTTTTCATAAACTAAACGTTAGGAGTTATAAATTTTTATTGTCTAAATTTGCGCATATTTCAAATGCCATATTGACAATTCTTTTTTACAGTAAACTATACTGAAAACCTATATTCTAAATATATGAAAATGAAGAACACATACTATTCTGAGAGCATAATAACACCAAATGAACAGTTGGTGATATTTTTACACAATCTACTTGAGAATCGGTCCAGGACGGATCGAAACGTCGTCGTCCCTTCACTTTCTAGTGTGTAGTTTCGTCAACATATTTTTATATTTTTGCAGCCGATTTCAAAATCTGAAGTTTTCAATATTCAATTTTATAATTATTTTTTGTTTTCTTGTTTTTCAAGTTACACTGGTGTTATTTAGTCAAAGTTGGAGCATTTGCCTAGTAGATTATTCAGAAAACATTTGAAAGTGTTTCAGAAAATTTAAAAAACTGAGTTCAATGTCACACATTATATGCGGTATTGCGCAGTTTAAGGGTTAATGTGGCTGTTGGATGCGTTGCCTTCGTAAAGATGTTTAGTAGTCAAAACTGTAGAATGGTTTTGTATGTAGTTCATTATTATAAGTATCTAAATGCTTTTTTGTTGTTATCCCAAGATTTTTTTTCAAGGAAGCTAATTTAACTGAAAAGAACAACATAAATAAGAAAGTAAATGAAAGTTAAATTTTCAGATTCTGGAGGAGATATGGATATTATTGTTGCTTCAGACAAGGAGATCAAAGTTGGTGCAGTTAGGGAAGCCTTCCAGTTTATGTTTGGAAAGGCAACAGTCAGGTCAGTCAGTTTGTAAATTTTAAGTGTTGTAATAACTCTGTTGTACATTGATATTTACTGCTTACGTGATATATAGATCTGACGTAAGTATCCACTCAATTTAACAGCCTATATGGGGCTGTACCCTGGTCGTTATTTCCAGAGCTCCGATATTTCCAAAGTTAAGATGTCGGTAATTTTTCAAGTAACATTCAGGTAGGATATACTTTATACTGTATAACTAAAATTAAATAAATTTCATTGTGTAATTGCATTCCAAGTTAGTTCCTGTGTTAGTGCCCATTCTATCACAGGTTACAATTAATTAATCCTTCTTATGCCAAGTTGGATCACACAAGTGGACAAGTGGACCACACAACAAGTGAACCATATTAACCAAACACATCCCTCCCTCCAAATGTCTTCCATCCCCTCCCTCAATGTCTTCCATCCCCTCCCTCAATGTCTTCCATCCCTTCCTCAATGTCTTCCATCCCTCCCTCAATGTCTTCCACCCCCTCCCTCAATGTCTTCCATCCCTTCCTCACTGCCTTCCTCATAACACGAGAACAGCAGGCTGTGGAGGAAGGAGCTACTAACGGGGTCGAGGGAGCTACTATAACGGGGTCAAGGCTAGGCTACCCGGACATCTGTCAGCGCCTGCTCACAGATGCCAACTGTTCATAATTCATAAATAGAATTATATTTGTTTAATTAATAAATAGGAAACTATAATACATGTTAATGATTAATAATGTATAGTAATATACGAAAATTAACATATTTTGGCATAAATATTTTACAACTAAGATTAAAAATTTTAATACAGTATGGGTGAGAGGTTTGGCACCATCGCCTTGGTCAGCAATTCTACCCTCCGCCTCCCTCACCATCAACACACTCCCTGCCTCCCTCAACACCACCACTCTCCCTGCTTCCCTCAACACCACCACTCTCCCTGCCTCCCTCAACACCACCCCTCTCCCTGCCTCCCTCAACACCACCACTCTCCCTGCCTCCCTCAACACCACCACTCTCCCTGCTTCCCTCAACACCACCACTCTCCCTGCCTCCCTCAACACCACCACTCTCCCTGCCTCCCTCAACACCACCACTCTCCCTGCCTCCCTCAACACCACCACTCTCCCTGCCTCCCTCAACACCACCACTCTCCCTGCCTCCCTCAACACCACCCCTCTCCCTACCTCTCCTCCTCAATGCCTCCATCCATCAATCACTGCCTCCCATCCCTCCCTCAGTGCCTCGGAGGTCAGTGGCCTGCTACCATGTGAGGGGCCTCAGATGCCAAAACAAACTCGATACCGACCTTCAGTAATATCGACCACCAGACCGGTATACAAGGGTCCATATACCGGTCTCTCACACCGGTCGTTACTACCGGCAGATCGGTATATAAAGAGGCCGTTAAATTGAGTGGATACTGTACACGATTTTGGATGACAACATTCAAAGAATATGATGGTCTTTGATGTTTTATAATGCAGTCCTTGTTACAGAAGTCAGATGTTAAAAAAAGGTATGATGTGTTGTGATAGGTTGACTCAAGGAATGTTGTTTCGTGGTGCTGGCTTCAGCACTACATTCTACGTAATACTGAAGGAGATCAGAGCACAAGCCCTGCCAGAGACGGAGCTTGTGCGAGGCCCGGAGCAGAGTGCTTGAGCAAGGCCGAGGATAAAGGGCTTGAAGGAGGGAGGGCAGAGCTCTCAAACGAGAGTGGGAGCGGAGAGCTCGGATGAGGGGGTGGGAGTGGGAAGCCCGAAAAAAGCTGGGATTGGCTGTCAGCTCTGTAGCGAGGCCAGTAGCGTCTTGTGTGAGAGTTCCCACTAGACCTGTGGGAAAGTTGTCCATCATACGATAGGTTGAAATGAAAATTTTGCTCAGGGAAATTAACTTGTAGAGCATGGGAAATATTAGGGTATGAATGGTAACTCTTAATATGGCTCCAGTCATTTTTTTAATAATGTTTGTAGATGGTTATAACATTAGCTAAAAAAGTTAGATCCTTGGGACAGCCATTGAGCATATTTAAAGCCAAATTCTATGGCTCATTTTCATATCCAGTTGCAACAGTTTTCTTTTATTAAAACATGAGCGCTTCTTCCTTTAAAAATGAGAGTTCGAGGCTGGAGCATGGGAAATATGCTAAATGTGGTATAAATTCTTTACAGACAGGTTCTTGTAATAGTTGTCCATATGATAGTTCTAAATTAAAATTTTACTCAATAAAATTAGCCCATAGAGCATATGAAATATTAGGATTTGAGTGGTAACTCTTTAATATGGTTCCAATCACATTTTTAATGATTATTGTGGATGGGCCCAAAATTAAACTTAAACATTTCATTTAGGCAAAAATACATAAAGTAGAACCTAGATGAAAATTAAGCTTGATTTGGAGAATCTCCGGTTCTATCTGCACTTATCAGGCCAAATTTACTCGTCCAATTGATGAACCAGACAAAGTCTGGTTCACTGATATGAGGGATGTACCGATTTGCTTAAGATGTTGGGACAGAATTCACAGACTGATGGAAATATTTCCCATCATATCACAGGTTAAATTTTAAATTCCCTTCATATGACAGGTTGAAATTAAAATTTTGCTCAGTGAAATCTTCCTCCCTCACTGCCTCCCTCACTACCTCCCTCACTACCCTTCTCTCTTCCTAACTACCTCCCTCACTGCCTCTTTCACTATATCTCTCCCTCCCTCACTGCCTCTTTCACTATATCTCTCCCTCCCCGCCTCATACCCCCCTCTCACACCCTTCCTCCCTCCCTGCCTCACACCCTCCCTCACTGCATCACACCCTCCCTCACTGCCTCACACCCTTCCTCCCTCCCTGCCTCACACCCTCCCTCACTGCATCACACCCTCCCTCACTGCCTCACACCCTCCCTCCCTCCCTCACTGCCTCACACCCTCCCTCCCTCACTGCCTCACACCCTCCCTCCCTCACTGCCTCACACCCTCCCTCCCCTCCCTCACTGCCTCACACCCTCCCTCCCCTCCCTCACACCCTCCCTCCCCTCCATCCCTGCCTCACACCCTCCCTCCATCCCTGCCTCTCACCCCTCTTATCTCTCCCTCACTGCCTCTCACCCTCCCTCCCTCACCACCACCACTCCATCCCTCACTGCCTCTTGCCCTCCCTCACTGCCTCTCATTTCCTCTCTCCTTCACTGTTTCCCTCACTATCTCTCTCCCACACTGCTTCCCTCACTACCTCCCTCCCTTACTACCTCTCTCCCTCCCTCATTGCATCTACTCCTGCCTCCCTCACTGCATCTCTTCCTGTCT